TCAAACTTGAGCAAAAAGATGCAAAGTGTGCGGAGCATAGAGGGTGCATAAGGGCGCGTCTATGAGTGACTTCGCGTTGTGAAGAGTGGGCGTGAAATTAACACAATTGAAAAAAGTTATGAAAATAAGGACCGCAATAATCTCATCGGAAATTGGGAGGAGTCAGCCATATGTCGATGTCCGTCGAAGTGTATGAGCGAAAAATCAAAGAAAGACATTCATAGAAGCAGAAGTTATGAAGCAAAATTCGGAAATTCGTTACCGCGCTGACAAATAGGCGTAAATGTCTGGGCGGGCTCGCGGTGGTGGCTGGTGTGATCGAAAAAATGGATAACCAGGCGGCAGTATATCGTTCTATACTTGGCTATTATCGATCGCAACGTTGCGACCGCTTTCATTGGAAAAACGTCATTGGAGCGCGGTTGTTGGGCCTGCCAACGTCCTGGGGTCTTTTCGGGGGTTATATCTCTTTTAGGGCGCGGCTTTTGATGAATGGTTAGCAGCATGCAACGGGTTCCTACTGTTGCGTTTTCTACCCAGTTGCAATCTGAATGTTTCCCCGTTCGTGAAATATTTCGGATGGGTTTCGGATCGGCTAGGGGTAAATGGCAAGCGGGTTTTTATGCTTCACACGAGGATTACTTATTTCGAACGCAATTTCATCAGGATTAAAATCGTCTTGAAACCGCCCTATCTTTTCTCTTTCCAATAAGCTTTACAGTTTTCCTGAAGACCCGCTAGTTCAGGAGATATTTTAGATGGGTCACAGACGCGCTACCCTCTGACCCACCCGAAAAATCGACTCCTTCTGTGCCATTGTGAGGATACACCTTCGGAAACTTCAGTGTGCCTTCAAAACACATATTTCCCTTCAAATGAGTGAAAGAGGAGCTCGGCTATCACTGATCGATTTGGTCCGAGTGTGCGCCGTGCATTACGCTCCTACGCAGAGGTGGTGGAAAGGTGTAAATTCTGATTTCAGGTGCTTTTGTCCATGCAAGCAGATGTTTGTTTAGGGTTTGGAAAGGACAATACGCACGAATCTGTTTGAGACGTATTATTTAGTCATCTACGTACTTACGAGTTCATGCTATAACTGACTTATTTATTTATTCTTGCTATATTGCTAATAAATTTTTTATTATTTTGTAGTCCTATTTACATCCGGGTCTTCTGCAGCTTTCCGTCCGTTCCATCAAACTTAGCAATGACACTTTTGTACTGTTTGATGCCTAGCGAGCCTACTTTTGCGATACTCCCACGTCCCCCGCGGCCAAGTACGAACCCATTTTTGGGGATTTCGCATGAAAAGAGGGCTGTTAAACGTAGCAGTTAAATCTGTAAAGAATACACTCATAATAATTTTCATTTTTTTACATCTTGACTTCCATAGCTCCACTCCCACTATCAACTGAAATGTCAAAGCATTGCCCGGCTCTGAGTGACCCTTGAGATTACGACCCCCCCTCCCCAGCGGCCAAGTACGACCCCCTATGGGTTTCGCACAACGATGCTGTACCCTGATTCCATAAGTCAACCAGTAGCAAATGAGACTCACTGCATATAGCGTCTCCTTATACGTATCGAAACGCCGAGACGCACGTAGCACTGGTGACTTTATAGCTCGCAATACGGAATGAACGACAGGAGGTCATTGGAAATTGACGGACGCTCGTCTCGGTTGTTCATGCGAGGATTTCTAATAAAAGAATGAAAACATATGATACGTATTCTAGGGAGGTGTTGAGGAATGATGGTAATAGTTTACTCTAAGTGATAGTAGTACTGGGCGATACCAGATCATTCCTGTATAAAAGACTGTTTGTCGAGTATGGTTCACTTTTGTTCGGCTCTCGCTTGGCTCAATAAACGACTACGCTGCTTGCGGTTTCGATACAGTTTATAGCTTTACAGCTATGCGGAATGAACGACAGGAGATCACTGAAAACTGACCCCGTCAATTCTCCAATGATCTCCTGTCGTTCATTCCGTATTGTGAGCTATAAAGTCACCAGTGCTACGTGCGTCTCGGCGTTTCGATACGTATAAGGAGACGCTATATGTAGTAAGTCTCATTCGCTACTGGTTGACTTATGGAATAGCGGATTTCCGCGTCTACGGTGGAACAAAGGTGAGCGCCTTCGTGTTCTGTTGTGTGAGATTCTCGGTTGAGTTTCACTATGTCATCGGAAATGCTTGGGTGGATTAGGCGCTTGGTGGGGTAGTGCACATCCCTTAAACTCTGCTTTCTGGATGCGCCATGCTAATGTTCCTACGCGGAGGTAGTGGGATGGTGCAAGTTATACGCAACCAGTCGGATCGCCCGGCTGTCGCCGGGCGCTCCTCCTTCTGTGACATGGCCCGGCTTCGCCGGGCCATGCGGATTTGCCGCGTGCTAAGTTAAGGATCGTTGACCAACCACACTGTTCAAAGGAATCTTCTGCATCAGCCAAGAACTGAAAAGCAGCGCTTGTTCCGTCAAGGCGCAGAAGCAGCAGCAGCGCCCCCCCCCGCATCACAGAAGGAGGAAAGCCGGCCTTAGCCAGCGATCCGACTGGTACGTTCATAACCTACACGGAAATAGTGCAGCCTGTTTGGACAGCCACTGAAGCAGCCTATAATTTATGCAATCTGTCTTCCTAAAGCGTCTTGCTTTGGAATGCACTACCGCATTCAGCAGTGGAACCCTTTAAATGGCCCTCACTGAAGTTGCTGATGGAAGATAATTGTGGTAAGAGTGATAAAGTCAGTTGCTGCTGTTCATAACATCTCTGTAAACAAACCACATGCATTTGGAATAGAGCTGGCTTAGCGGTCGTACACGATGTCGTTACTAATAAGCAGTGAGGAATGAGTTCTGTTGGAATCACTGAGATCGTTATACTTGAGTCATATCGATCGCATTGTTGTTGTGAGCGGTGAAGCGGATTTTTTAGCTCCTATCACTTCCGTACCCGCTAATAACCCTGTATCGCCTCTCGGATCAGAGGTCCCAGTGCTGCTACCTGCGTTACGAATCTGATGACCCTCCCCTTCCGAGGCCGCTTACCGTATCTTCAACTGTTATCACTTTCTGTCGCCCGCCAATAATGTTCCCGTCCCACACCCTATATCACCTCACGGATCTGAGTTCCCACTGTTGCTGTTACCTGCGCCATCACTCTTGAAATCACGGTCCTGCAGCTGCTGCAACTTGCGCTACGATTTCGGTCACCCTCCCCTTCTAAGGCCCCTTATCGAATCTTATCAAGTGTCATCACCTCCTGTCACCCATCAAAAGTGTTCCCGTCCTGCCATGTATATCACTCCTTGAAATCACGGTCCCGCACCTGCTGCAACTTGCGCTACGAATTCAGTCACCCTCCCCTTCTACGGCCCCTTATCGTATCTTATCAAGTGTTATCACCTCCTGACCCCCTGTTCCCGTCCTGCCATGTATATCACTTCTTGGAACTGTCATCCTATCTTTTCTGCGACGCTCGCTATGAATTTCGTGACAGACAGACAGACACACACACACACACACACACACACACACACATACATAGCGGATTATATATAGTAGGATGCCTGTCTACGCGAGCAGATGTGTTTGTAGGACTTGGGGGGGGATCCATGGCCAACCTACGCACTTGCTTACAGTCTTGTCCGTTGCGCAACGGAGACGGTAACCGCACGCCGTCAGATCCATGCCCCACCACTTGCTAAGTCCGATAAAAGAGACCAACTGCTGGAAAACGTCCGATACGAACGATATGGTAGTCTTCGTCGTTTGTCGAAAGAAAAAAAACAGGTTGGCGCCGTACCAAGCGCGGTCGCTCGGACACGCCCCATCATCCGCAGCGAACCAGGGTATGAGATGTACTGTTTAGTCATCTATGTACTTACGAAATGATGCTACACTTATTAATGTTTCCAGTAAATTTTGATTAGTTCAGTTAATGAGAATTTTGTACTACTTTTTACACATCCGGGTTTCTACAAAGCAAGTTTCGCTATACAGGACCAGCATACTGACACCTTTGCGCTGCTCGTTACTGAGTGAAGGACTAATTACGACCCCCCTCCTCCCAGCGGCCCCTCCCCTCTCCCAGCGGCCAAATACGACCTCCCTTTTGGGGAATCCCCAACAACGATGTGCCCTGGCGGGGAGGAGGGAGGAGGGAGAGCGTGAATATAATTCCCATGAAACAGGAAAAATCACAAAAAGTCAGCTACCGAGAAAAATTTTTCCATTGCGGCAACTTCTCTCAGGCTACATACAACTCCCCCTAACGACCAAATACGATCCCCACCCTCCCAGCGGAAAACTACAAACGCCCGCCCCCCCCCCTTCACACAACGATGCTACTATACCCTGGTTGTGGAACTGTAGACGTTGGATGGAGAGCTCGGCCGGTTAATTCAGGTAAAATACGAGCTCGCAGTCGTCCAAATGTGACATGGCGTGTCCTTTTACCGTACTGCTCAGTCACTGGCTGTATATTGTCAGTAGCTGAAATACATAAACAAGCCGAGGTTATTTTGCTGTATTCCCGACTCTGAGGCTTCATGAGTAACAAATTTACCGTTGCGTCGCGAGTCCTCTGTATGCAGACGCGTTTCTAGCCGCGATTTTCTAGCTGACAGAAGACTTCTATGGTAATGTCCCAACCGCAGTGATTCAATCGCTCCTTCGCCACTCGAAATGATTCCGCACCGTGTCGTGTTATACGTGTCTTGCCAGAGATCATTCAAGGCTCCTATTGAGGGAAATAGCGCCTACTTGTGTAGCAAAGAGAGAGCCTGAGTGAGTTCAGAGTGAGTTGGAGTGTTCGAGAAGCATTCTAAAATTTCGGTTCCAACACGTCACCAGTCATGCCTTTGGCTCCGCCTTCTCCCTGCCGGCTTTCATTGCGTTGTTAGCCATCGTTCTTGTGTGCGTGTCCGAGCGGTAGCTAATTCATCAACTGACATGGTGCTGTGACGGCTGAGTCAGGTGGCCGAGGCAAAATTTCGCTATGCACCCTCCATGCCTTCTTCTACTACTATTACTAATTCTCTTCCACACCCATCGATTTGTGATTGCGTTTTCTTGTCCGGAACCGATTGGTTCGCGCCCAAAGTACTGCCGCAAGGAGTGCACCACTGATGACGACTGCAAAAAGCATAAACGCTGCATGTGCGATGGCGAATGTGGTCTGAGCTGTGTGAACCCAGGTGCTGTCGTTCTGCGAAATTTTCATGTTATTTAGAACGCTCATCATTTTCAGCTTCCACATGTCATCCACTAGCCGAAATCGACAACGGGTATATTCGAACTGCTGGTGAATTGAGGTGGTCTTTACTGTTTTGTGCAGTTTCGCTTAAATTTTAATTTTTATACTCTAAAGGATGACTGGATTGTGACTCTTATGGTAAATCTTCTCAACAAAAAGGCATCTTTTGTCGTCCTCCGAGCGGTCCACTGAGAATAGAATTCAAACCTTCTGATCCTCTGTTTTTCTTAGGGTCCCTCTCAAGTCATTCAACGTTGCGACCTCACACATCCCAGCTTTTCGCAAATGAGTAAGTAGTTCGCCCACCAATGCCCTGCCTCGGAAAAGCTTGTATCCTGGCTTGTCACGTGTTTTTGCACATTTCGATGGTTTCGCAGCCGCTGTCCCTATCGTCCTGCTTTACATGGTTTCGCAACAGGATCATGCACGACAGTTCAACATAACACGTAGTCCCTCCTGGCAGAGAGGTTTTTGTTTCTCAACTATTCCCAGTGTTGAGAAACATCATATTAATGCAGCACTTACGTTGTCCGCCGAAACTGAGAGAGATACCTAAGCATCTTCACTGTAGAAGCTGTAGAGTTGAAGTAAATATCGGAAAATCACGTACATGAATTCCCTTTCACCTCTTCAGCTCCCTTTGTTATCCTTGCGTCAGATCTAGAGAACAACGAGAAGTAAGAGAGTGCAGACAGTTAGCGCATTTGGCTACGGTTAAGCGTACGATTGGCCCTACTACACCGCGGGTGGAGTATGGAAACGGCGTTGGATGCCACTACCTTCACCACGTTCCCATGCACTTTTGAGGGAAGAAACTTGCACACTACTATAGTTGCGTACCTATTCACCACGCTCATGGCGAGGACCACGGTCCAGAAAGGTGAGACTTTTCCTCGGATAACTACGATTAGGGCGTGAGAATCCTTAATCAATTCATATTCCTCTGAAGAAACTGTGAGAATGCGAAATTGAACGTTTAGTGCCTGCTGCTGAGGAATATTTCGTTTTTTTTCGGACTTTTTTTAAATTTTTCCGTTTACTCCAAAGTTGAGTATTAACTTTACGTGAGTTCTAACGTTTTTTATGAAATTTCCTCATGTTTCAGATTTGGGTCAAATGCTGAATATGCGTGTAATAAAGGCTTCGTACTAATTGGTTCCTCTCAGCGAAGATGTCAAGGCAATCGAGAGTGGAGTGGAGCACAGCCTACATGTCGACTGCAGAGTATGAAAATTTTAAGTGCAAGATGTAATTTGATCAGCGACAGTAGTCAACTAAAAAGAAATATTTACACTCCATTCATGACCAGTTTGTCTATCTTTGTAAATTAAGACATCCTCAAGAGATTATGTCATGCCTAGTAGGGCTCAACGGAAGCTTGAATCACCTGATGCAAATTTGATCGGTTTCTATTTCTGCCTTTAGTCTATATTATTTTCTGGTAACAATATGGAGCGGCTCGCTGGTTTGAACCAAAATGTGCAGGTTTTGTATAAACTACTCTTACAATTACAGTAAGATGCGGCCCTCCTCCCGAGATACCGTATGCTGTACATGACGGTTCGTCATTCTCAGGCGAATACGATCTGGAAGCTGAAGTTTCTTACTCGTGCGTACCCGGGTACCACAAATTCTCTGCTAAGGTAATTTTCAAGCTAGGCTGTTTCATATATTTTGCTATGTTTATTTGGTTACCTATTACTGAAAAATTAGCGCAAATCATATCCCTGGATTATTTGAATGAACCAGATGATGAGAAATAATTCACTGAAAAGCATGGGCTAGACTAACCCTGCTAAAAGTTGAAAACAGTACAGGTTATAAGAATGCGAACGCACATCAGAGGGTTGTCTTAGGTCATGAGAAAAATTCCTGCAACTTTCAGCCTTGAATTTCAGATGCACCGATCTCGGGTTGAACTTTATTAATAACTTATAAGTAACTTATAACTAACTTTATTAATCAAAGTGGTAGTTATCACTATCAGCACACCCCTGCCAACATAGTGCAATTCCCCCTATTCCGCTTGCTCAGGAGTTCAGAGACCATGAGGCGAAACCGGTGAATGCCGCTGTTGTATAACGTTGGCATTGCAAGCATTTCTCCTTGGGGATACTGTCGACATGTTTGAGGAAGTTGAAATCGGTGAGAGAGCTGTATCCGATGAATAAGGCGGACCGGGAGACCTCGTACCATAGCTCGCTCATTTTCTTTAGGGTGGTTGTGCGGCATAATGTCGAGCGTTTCCCAGAGTAGGATCGGCCACATCTCGCTGACCAGTGCCGGGCTCATGAGCTGAAGTTTGCGGTGACGGTGTCTTCAGTTTCTTGACGGCACTTCTCAGGTGTAGTTCTGCCGCCTGATTCCGGAGCTGTGGTAAATTAGGGCAGCCACATATAACAAAGTCACACTCTTCGAACAATGTTCTCTGGTGTTCATTTTCAACATCCGATCGCCGTAGGGAGTTCATCTCCAACGGTTCTCATCGTATCATCTTCACGATTCTCATCGTCAGCACAAAAATCCTTAAACTACTGCGTACTACACTCATTCTTAATGTTAAAGCCGAACGTTTTATAACCTGAGTTGTTTTCACGATTTTCCTAAGCAATTTCAGTTGGACAAGGAAATTTGTGCTACGTCGTTTGCTAATGTAGTTTCTACCAGCTGAAAAACTAGAAAAGCCACTTCAAAACTAAACGAATAATCTGCTGTATAGAATGAAACATGCGCTTCAAAACAAACTAGAATGTGTCAGCAACCGCGCAAAAAGTAACACAGCTGACAGCATCGTAGATCCGAGCACGAAAAATCGTGAAAACTTCATTCGCGACCCAATATTCATTGTCTGTACTGAGACTGCCACTTCCTTCATCCCCGTTACGTTCCTTCTTGAGACAGAGCCGCAAAGAATGGTGAGAGTGACTCGTTGATGTTTGCCTTCAAGCCCAAATTATGAAATACACAGCTAGGTGTCCAATAAATCCTCCTCGCCTAGAGGTACTGGCCATCAATGACCGAACTTTCACAGGAGTGAGTCCTGCGTCGATTTGGCTGGTGATCAAGTTACTGGCCATCAATGACCGAACTTTCACAGTAGTGAGTCCTTCGTCGATTTGGCTGGTGATCAAGTATGTATGAAAGAAGTTAATGCACCACTGAGGATAAGAAGCTCGAAAATAGAGGATGTGTCGAAGTTCTGCCTTCTGTTTTTGGTCAGCGCAGCGGCTGTTAAGCCAAGGGGTTCATGTTCTCATGGTGGCTGCAAGTGCGTAGCGCAAACGGTCTTGAAACAAACATAACTTATTCAAGCCGTCCGAGATTGGTAATACTTCATTGAAAAAAGGCTAATGTTTCGACGTCTTTGCCTTCGTCAGAGCCTCTTAATCAAACAAGCACCTATGACCAGCCAAAGCAGAGATCAAGATAAATCAGACAAAAGACCAAGCAGCAAATCCAATCAAAAGTACCTTGAGCTGGTGACCACTCCAGCTCAGTAAGAACTCAAAATGAGCGCTATCACCACATATCATCGAATCACCAACCTAATGTTCGTGATAAGCCACAAGGGTCGGCAAGTGATGCCAGCTCACGGGTGAGGACAACATCTTTTTCCTTCCCCTCTTCCTTGTTCACTTTGGATCTTTCCACGTGCTCCAAAATGCTTCTAACGCCCTCCGCACTGCGATCTCAGGATCGTGTGCCAGAATACAATAATACACTTATCCCGAACGCAGTGTTTCCATGACATTGAATACGGTGGGTTCCCAGCGGTGTATGGCTTAGTGATCTTCGTAACCCATCCGACTGCTCCTTTACCCGCGTTTATGCGCAGGGTCGACCCGTTGCTCCTATATACACATTATCGCAAAGTAAGCCAGTGTTACTTCTGGATGGATTTGCTGGTTGGTCTTTGTCTGATTTTTTTTGACCTCTGCTCCGAAGGGGCGGTCATGCGTGTCTATTAATTTTAACAGGCTCTGACAAAGGCGAAGAGGCCGAAGCGTTGGCCTTTTGTTAATAAAGGTCATTAGCAATCCCTGACGACTTGAATAACTTACATTTATGTGAAATAACTATGCCGAGGATAAGTGGTCGATCATGGACGATCTTGAAGTGTCTTTCCATTGGCAGGTCTTATAATATGCACGACGCATGCGTGTGGAATGCCAACACATCGTTTGAGCAGTAACAGTTCCACACATTTAGTTTTGTGGTAGATTCCCAACCAGTACATTTGATTAATTCTCAATTCACTGTCCTTGTTTTGCAGGGCCTTGCTCTCGCTAAATGTTTGCTGAACCGAAAAAATGTGGCTCAATGGTTTGGGCCGGATTTGAAATGTAAAGGTGAGCATTAATCAAATGCACTGGTTGGGAATCTTTTGTTGTATTGTCGGTGCCTTCATTAAACCACTGTCATATATTCACTTAAAATTTGATGTCCTAATAGAGGAGAACAACTGAACCAACAGCATGATTTATTCTTCGCGAAAACTAAAATAAAAAAGAGGTTTGTGGCGCTATGATCCTCGAGAAGGGCTGGCACTACTCTTCAGACAACGCGATAGTAAACATAATGTTTTGACGCGACAAAGCCACACAATTCTCTCTAGGTGAGTGGGTGACAGGTAGTGTTCTCTAATAAACCATCACCCCATATATATAATTCGCTTTGTCTGTTTGTTGTTTGTTTGTTTGTTTGTTTGTAAGTTTGTAAGTTTGTCTGTCCGGAAATTCGGTTCGACCTGAAGAACGACTTGGAGAGGTCCAGTCAAGGTGGGGATAGGTAGGGCATGGGACAAGAAATAAAAAGCACACTTGACCTATGGGCCCACAGTGGGCGGGGCACTCGCCGAAAGTTTGGGGTTCCGCAGAAAAATGTTCATAATTCGCTTCCGGAGCAGCTTAAAGATGGGGAAAAAGGGACTAAGGTTAGTAAGGAGTCGCCAGACTAACTGTGGCAGGTACACCCTAAATGGGCGGGGCGTACTCAAGGTGGGCGGTGCTTCTCGCAAAATTCAGTAACCCGGTTCGCGAGAGTGTTTGGAAGTCGCAAAAAACTCAGTGTAGAATGTAAATATCTGGCGAATATAGGGCACGCTCAAAGTGTGTTGAGACCCGCCCACAGTGGGCGGAGCTTGCCCTAAATCGCAGGGTATTCATTTTAAAAGTTTGTAGCTCGGTTCCAGAACACTCCAGATACCGGAAAAAAGTGGATTAAGTTCAGCAGAGGGTCGTCGGTTAAGATTGTGGGGCAAAAAAAATTGTGGGCGGAGCCTGCTCCGAGGTGGGCGGAGCCAGACAAAAAGGTCTGTAAAACGGTTCCAGAGCACTCCGAAGACCGGAAAAAGTGGATTAAGGTCAGCAGAGGGTCGCCGATTGAGAAATGTGGGGTAGACATAGGCCAGCCCGAGGTGGGCGGAGCCAGACGAAAATTCTCTAAAACTGTCCCAGAGCACTTCAAAGACCGGAAAAAAACGTGGATTAAGGTCAGCAGAGGGTCGTCGGTGAGGATTGTGGGGCACAAACATTGTGGGCCTGCTCCGAGGTGGACGGAGTCAGACGAAGAATCTGTAAAATAGCTCAAGAGTACTTCAGACACCGGAAAAAATGGAGTACAGAACAAAAGGG